ATGGTTGCATTCATTATGATGTATGGTCACATGTTGTGAATGCAACACGTGGCCATACAGGGGCCGGTAAGGACCGTGGAATGCTATCTGTGCTCCCTGTAAAGGTTAAAGCAACGAAAGGACAATGTGCCATTCAAGCATATGCCTTCTTGGATCCAGGCAGCACTGGAACATTTTGCTCTGAAAGGCTGATGCACCAACTGAACCTCACTGGAAAGCGAACACAAGTCCTTCTTCGAACAATGGGCCAAGCTAAAATAAGTCCAGCATTTTCTCTGTGTAATCCTGAGGTGGCTGGTCTTGAGAGTAATAGATTTTATCCTCTGCCAGAAATTATTACGCAGAGACAAATGCCTGTGACCAAAGATAATATGATAACATCTGAAGATTTAATAAAGTGGCCATATTTGTCAAGAGTTCACATGCCATCCATAAATGCTGAGGTTGATCTGTTAATTGGTACCAATGCTCCAATGTTATTGGAACCTTGGGAAGTCATCAACAGTCAAGACAATGGTCCATATACTGTCAGAACTGTACTTGGCTGGGTGGTCAATGGGCCCTTGGACTTGTACTCAAGAAGTCTCATCTGTAACAGTGAACAGAATCTCATTGAGCAAGCTGGATGAACTGCTCAGGAGCCAGTACAACCATGATTTCTGTGAAGGATCAGCTGATGAGCAAGAAATGTCCAGAGAAGACCAAAAGTTTCTCAATATTATGGAAACATCTGCAGCAATACAAGATGGAAAGTACTGCTTGAACCTGCCATTTAAAAGAATGGATGTCTGTTTACCAAAGAATTTAGCAGTAGCCAAACAGAGATTACAAAGTCTCAGGAAAAGATTCAAGTTTAATCAGAACTTTCATCAGGAGTATGTGGAGTATATGAATAACATCATTTCATGGAGATATGCAGAACGTGTACCTGAGCACCTTTTGCATTGTGACAATGGAAGAATGTGGTACATTCCCCACCATGGGGTTTACCATCCAAGAAAGAAATCTCTACGTGTGGTGTTTGACTGTGCTGCAGTATTTAGAGGAGTGTCTTTGAATAGTGAGCTGCTGCCAGGCCCCAACCTCACCAACCCCTCTGCTGGGGGTCCTTATGAAGTTCAGAGAAGAGTCAATAGCCATAATGGGAGACATCAAAGCTATGTTTCATCAAGTGCAGGTGCCAGAAGGAGATCGAGACTTCCTTCGCTTTCTTTGGTGGCCAAATGGAGACATTACACAGGAACCAGTACCTTATAGGATGATGGTCCATCTATTTGGAGCCGTTTCATCCCCAAGCTGTGCAGCCTATGCTTTAAGAAGAACTGCCCAAGACAACCAAAATGAATTCTCACAAGAGGTCATAGAAACTGTAAGGCAGAACTTTTATGTTGATGATTGCCTCAAAAGTGCAGCCACTGAAGAGGAAGCTATCAATTTGATAAACGATCTTGTTGCTCTGTGTGAAAAAGGAGGCTTCACATTGGAAAAATGGATAAGCAACAGTCGTGTTGTTCTGCAGGCCATCTCAGAAGAGCAGAGAGCTAAAGATTTGAAGATGTTGGATCTGGATATTGATAAGCTTCCAATGGAAAGAGCTTTGGGTCTGCAGTGGTGTGTGGAGACTGATGCCTTCCAGTTTAAGATAAAGCTGAAACAGCAAGCACTGACCCGGCGTGGAATGTTATCTGTGAATAGTTCTGTGTATGATCCTTTGGGTTTCCTGGCTCCAGTGACACTGGAAGCAAAACTGATGCAGCAGGAACTGTGTAAAAGAGGCTGTAGCTGGGATGATGCACTACCACAAGACATTTTACACAAATGGAGAAGATGGTTGGAGGAGCTTGCGCTACTGTCTACTTTTAGTGTCAACCGCTGCATAAAACCTGTGGGGTTTGGAGCCATAAAGCATGCACAATTACACAATTTTTCAGATGCTAGTGAAACTGGATATGGAACTGTTGTGTACATTCGGATGATAAATTACGAAAACAGCATTCATGTTGCTTTCCTGATGGGGAAGGCCAGAGTAACACTGCTGAAAGTTATCACCATTCCCAGGCTTGAGCTTTCAGCTGCTGTTTTAGCGGTGAAGGTGGATGCTATGGTCAAAGCAGAGCTGAATATACACCTGGAAAAGTCAATGTTTTGGACTGATAGCACATCTGTGTTAAAATACATCAATAATGAATTCAGACGATTTCACACGTTTGTGGCAAATAGAATTGCAACCATCAGAAATTTGTCTGAACCTACTCAGTGGAATCATGTCAGCACAAAAGAAAATTCAGCTGATTATGTGTCTCGTGGACTGAAAGTTTCAGACTTTCTGAAAACCAGAAAGTTGGATGGACCAGAGTTCCTGTGGAAAGATAAAGAAAGGTGTCCTCGAGTGATGTAGAATTGGATGTCGGCGACAAAGAAGTTAAGAAGGAGGCTGCAGCTAATATCATTGGCCTCGACACTCCTGCACCTACTGACCAGCTAATTGTACATTTTTCAGATTGGAGAAGACTTAAAAGAGCAGTGGCTTGGTACCTAAGGCTGAAGTGTGTCTTAAAGAAAAAATGTAAAAGGAGAAAACAGCTGAACCCTTTAATGGACAAGAACCCAGTTGTGCATCAGATGAACACAAGAGGGCGCCAAAGGACCACTGATAACTCAAAAGGTGGAAGTTTGTCATTAGCAGAGCTCCAAAGTGCAGAGTTCTTCATTATTTTGTACTGTCAGCAGCAAAAATTCCAGCATGAGATTGAAGCTCTGTCACATTATTCTAAAGTAAGCCGTACGAGCTCTATCTATGTGTTGGATCCAGTTTTGGAAAACAACATTTTAAGAGTTGGAGGCCGACTTCATAGAAGTGCAATGCCAGGGGAAGTAAAACATCCGATAATTCTGGCCAAAGAGCAACACATCTCCAAGTTAATCCTCAGGCATTTTCATCAAGTTCTTGGACATGCAGGACGGGCACACACACCGACGGCTGTAAGAAAAAGTTCTGGATTACGAAGGGAAATTCTGCTGTGAGAAAAGTCATTGGTGAGTGCAGCATCTGTAGGCGATACAATAGGGGAAGAACACGCTGCAAGAGATATGGTGTTTTGTTTACCTGGCTGGCAAGTCGAGCCATCCATTTGGAGATTGCAGCTACACTTGACACAGATTCTTGCATCAATGCATTGAGGAGATTTATCAGCAGAAGAGGACAAGTTAAACAGCTATGGTCTGATAATGGAACAAACTTTGTTGGTGCTGAGAGAGAACTGAAAGAAGCTCTTGTTGATTTAGACCAGGACGCAATAAAGTCATTTTTGGCACAGGTAGAAATTAATTGGATTTTTAATCCACCTGCTGCTTCCCATTTTGGTGGTGTTTGGGAGCGAATGATTCATCTGGTGAGAAGAGTACTCAACTTAGTCCTGCGTCAGCAAACTCTTGATGATGAAGGGCTAAATACAGTAATGTGTGAAGCAGAAGCCATCTTGAACGATCGCCCCATTACAACCCTTTCAGATGATCCAAATGATCTGGAGCCACTTACCCCCAATCATCTGCTCTTGCTCCGTGAAAAGCCTTCACTTCCCCCTGGAATATTTAAGCCAGAGGGTCAGTATGCAAGAAGACGATGGAAACAGGTGGGTGCAATACCTGGCTGACCTGTTTTGGAAGAGATGGGTTTGAGAATATTTACCTTTGCTTCAAAAAATGCAGAAATGGAACGAGAAGAGGAAAAGTCTCGCTGTTGGAGAAATTGTCATCATGGATCCTTCAGCACCTCGAGGATCCTGGCTTCTTGGAAAGGTTTTGGAAGTGTTTCCAGACAGTCATGGTTTCGTGAGGTCAGTGAAGTTGAAAACTAAGTCCAATATTATTGAGAGACCAATTTCAAAACTTTGCATGGTGTGTGGTATATAAATTAATGTGTTAATGTCATTTGTGTCACATAATGTCTCTTGTATTATTGTTGGTTTGGAATTGGCATATTTATTTACTATGCCAATTAGGGGCCGGTGTATTGGAGCCAATTATGTGTATTTTTTGTTTTTTGGCCACTAGATGGGGCTGTTGCTCCAGTACATAAATCAAGAGGCGACAGATAGCTGTCAGGTGTTGAACCCGGAAGGGCATAAAAGTTTTTGACTGCTGTGGCGGAGTCATTATTAACACTGTTACCGTGTACTATGGAATAAATGGATCTTGTTCACAAATGTTTATCTGTCTGGACCAAAGTGTGGAGTTTGGACTGCAAGAAGATCAGGGATTGATATTACACAGGTGATTTTTGTCTATTTTTCTTGATTGTTTTTTTTATAGACTTTCAGTTGAATGACCTTTTGTCTTTTGTTAATATACTTTGGAGTTTGGACAATTTCTTATTTTTGGTAATTAATTTGATTAGGTTAATTTGTGGCATTGTTGGTCCGCCTATAAATAGGCTGGGTTTCGACATGTTAATTCGAAATGCCCTTCCACTCGCCTCCGCTCACTCCACCACCACCGGGAATGTGTCTTGACGGGTGCGCACACGTCCAGTCGCTGTAGGCCACAGCTGACGTCTCCAGCCTGCCATGTGGTATTGTTGTTAGCCTCTGTTTGTTTGTTTTTATGTTATGATTTTGGCCTGGTGGGACCGGTTGTCCTGTTTTCGATTTTTCTTTTGCATTAGACTCTTTTTGCTTTAGTCCGGTACTAGCAGGAGCTTCGACGGCCCTTTATAGGGTTGGCCCCCTGCTGTACCGTTTTGTTCTGTTCTCACCAGGTCCAACTTTCTGTTTGGGGTTTTGTTTTTCTTTTTTTCGTTTTGGACATGGGAAACTGAGGAGATTTAACTCTCCTTTTTCTTCACAGAAAATCAAAAGCAGCTGAACCAAAAACAAAAGTTCAAGAGAATTTAAGAATAAAATATATTTTTTTGAACCCTCATTCTTGTCTTGTGTCCTCGAATATGTTGTGCCCTTGGTCGACGTAACAATGTTAAAAACATTTTGAAATCTGATCAGGCTTCAGCCCGTCTGAACCTGCTCCAGCGTCTTCCCTCCCCAGCCGATGGCGTTCATCTTCCTGCGCACCTCCCACTGCTTCTGGTAGGCCAGGATGTTCCCGAGAGGCCAGGAGTACGGGCTGCTGTACCTGGGCCGAGAAATCTGCACACAAATGGAGACGGATAAGAGAGATTCATGCTTTTGGTTCTGACATCTGAGGAAGGAGGAAGACGGACCTCGCCTGCTGTGGCGTCGTCACACCACTGGACGAACAGCTGCAGAGAGGAGACAAAAGCTGGGTGAGAAGCTGCTGCAGCGCTGAAGCATCAGTGTGTGGGTCTGACTGTTACCTCAGAAGTGAGCAGCATGTTGTACACCAGCTCCATGTACGCTTTCATCTCGGCTCGCTGGACATCGTCCAAGCTGTCGCTCAGCGAGTGGCCCTGGAAACCACAAACGCATCACTCCATGTCACCTGAGGAAGATGCATCCTGCCAAAGCTCAACGACCTTCACAAACATTGAAAGATTTGGGTTTTAACTAGGGATGCTCCAATCAGGTTTTTTGCTGCCAATTCTGATACCAGTCATCAATGAGGGTTGATCAATGATGATCACCTGGATTGACTGTTTTTTCGCTTTAGGTATATATAAATGCTACTATGTGATCTGGAAAAATAGAAAAATAATTTATTGGCAAAATAATTTATTTATCTCTCAATAAATTAATCTAATTTAGACATAAAACATGCAAAATACTTGCAGGTACAATACAGCAGCTATTCAGTCAAAGGGACAACTGAAAAACCTGCAATCAGTAAAACAATATTTAAGAGTAAGGCTCTTAACAGCCTAAATTATATACAAGTCAAATACATCTCACATGAAATAATGTCAAATAAAAAAGGAAGCATTCATTTAAAGTGAAATGCAGGTTGCATCAAAATGAACAATCCTGAGTCACTAAATCCAAACTTTCTGAGGGCATGGCTAGCTGATTAATGATGGTTCTGATTGGTTGTTTCTGACCAAGCTGAGTAATTCTGCAGAACACAGGGAGGAGGCAGAGGAGATTGATTATTTTCCCCAGAGATTAACTGTCTTATGTTAGGACATAGCAAAAGTTTTAATACATATGTAAAATCTTGTTTAAGTTACAAGGTGCAGCTTTAAGCAGACGTTCAAATGTGAGAGTTCACTGCCGGTTGGAGCAGAAACGGCGCAATGGTTGTGAAATATTACCACCAGTAGCGTGGCGTGGTGGTCCAACAGCAAGAGCAGAACCAACATCTTCCACTGCCATCCCGAAGTCTTTAATTATTAATCGGGCTATTTGTTTATCTTTCTGACCATCACGCTCATTTGGGTGCTGCTTTACCTGCTGTCTGATCACTCCAGATGTCTTTTTTTTCATGCAGTGAGCCTCGATATAATCATACTATATCAAGTATGTTTGTTTGTTTTTAAATGTCATATTAGACTCGTTGTGTTGATATATTTTGACATGCTTCACCCCCGAAGTATTTTTCCATCAAAACACAAAAACTTCCCCATTATCACTGAGCGTTTAAGTTCCTCACCACATTGCTTAGGATTTGTTGTGTGCTTGCACAGTGTGAGAGAAAGAGGAGATAAGCTGCACACAAAGTGACATACAGGTGATCGGTTTTTGTGATTGGCAACAAGAGAGTGTTTGGCGATCACAAATCATACACCTTTTTATGATCGGTGGCAGATCGATCGGCACACCTCTAATTTTATCACCTTGGCTTTAGTGAACTGCACAACTGGCCCCAGTTCAGACACCACCTGATTCCCCACGTGGATGAAGGGGATTTTCCCTACGGAGAGAACAAACATCAGGAATGTAGGCTTGGAATGGCGGGACGCCTGTGGTGGGTGTACTGACCAGAGGGTGACATGTACTCAGCATTGTATCTGCAGACCACCTGAATTGGCAGACCACACATCCGGAGGTAGGCCTGCATGTGAAAAGGCAGAGAAGTCAAAACTCTTTCCCTGGCTTGGAAAAGGCGAAGCTAGAGCTGCACAACATGATATTGCAACAAGGGTTTCTGCAATATCAGTGTGTTTAATGTGGGAAATGTCGCAAAATATAAAATTGCTAAGTTGGCAACAGTGGGGTAACTATAACTTTTTGTTTTGGTGTTAAAGGATTTTTTGGCTCTAGCAGTTTTTGACTATGCTGCATTGCATGTATTTATAAATGTAGAGGTTTCACAGAATTAGTAGTAAGAATATCTGCAAAGAAAGATCCAGAAATCAAACTTTTACCTGAACAGAAAGAGATGAGGCATGGTCTGAGAGCAGGATCTGATCATCTGCAGCAGAGAAATGCTTCAACATTAGAAAACGTTTAGGCAAAATGTTTCTGCAGATCCTCCAACTTACCCATTAGCGGTTGGTACAAGGTTGCATTCTCAGGCCAAGGCTCTGCTGCTGTTGATCAAAAATAAGCAGGTTTTTCTTCTTTACACCAACTTTAAGTGGAATCTGTCTGCTAACAGAAACTGTTTCGGTAACACTTTATTTGAAGAGGGTTGAATAAGACTGTCATGACACTGTCATAAACATGACA